TGGACGGCCATGGGCAGTTTGGGTAGCACATAAATGTCGCGGGAACCGTATGACTGAAAATAACCCGTAGGCCAGGCGAAGGGGATGGGGGCGGCGGTGGCGAGAAAGGCAGGACGAGAAATGCAGTTGGAGTCGTAGGGGGGGTTCGTGAAGGGGGCTCGCGGAGAGGGGCGGCGAGGCTTAAAAGGGTTTTGGGACGCGGTAAGCGCGCAAGGGCGGTAGCGGGCGCTACCCTTGGTAGCGGCGTAACGAGGCGCGGTAGGGCGCGGGTTTGGCGGGTTACGCGCGCTTGTAAGGCGCGGTACGGAGGCGCGGGCGGTGCGCGGGATAGGGCGCGCGGGATAGGGCGCGCGCGTGGGTCGCGGCGCGGCGCGGAGCGTGCGTGAGAGAGAGTCATGGAGAGCGATGGGGCACGGAACACGGAACACGGAACACGCGCCGACAAGCGAGGCGCGTGCCCTATTGCCTGCGTGTTATCGTGGGTGCGTGACTTACCTGCTTCCGCACGGAGGCGCGGAGACAGCGGCTGCGGGCGGCAGCGCCGGCGGATGTACGTGGCGGGGCGAGCGCCAGTGCGCGGGGCCCAATCGCGGAGTGGCACGCGGGACACGGGGCAGCTCGCGGGGGCTCCCGCTCAGTACGTGGCGCGGGCGCCGGCTGGGTCCCCCCCCCACCCACACACAACACACACACAACCTCCAAACGCGCGCGGCGAATGCAATTCAGCGCAGGGGCGCCTTACAGTGTAAAAGCGGGAAAGTGATGCGGTGTGTAAGTCTTACACACCGCATCACTTTCCCCGCTTTTTGACGCACCCGCTACGACCGCCTCTCCCGCCCGCCAAACGCCGCGCGAGTGCCGCGCGAGTGCCGCGCGAGGGCGCGACCTCCTCGCGTCATCTCGCGCATGCTGCTCAGCCGGTAACTTGACTTGTGGTTTGCACAGGCCAAAACTGTCTCTAGGCATGGGACGCCGTCTAATCTAGATTCACCACCTATCTTACCCTTCGAAGGGTACTTGCCTTTTTAAACTCGCCTTTTTGCTTTCCAACTTGTTTTACGTTCGCTTTTAACGACGTTAAAACGTCGTTTAAAAATCCTTCTTTTCCACGCATACAGTATCTAACCCCCCCCCCCCCCCCCCCACTCAAAACATGCAATTCTCACAGAACTGCTTTCAGCCCCCTTTTTCTTTCTGGCCCGCAAACTGCAACTCAACAAGAAAACCCATGTCTAAAACTCTCCTCATGCCAGCACAACGCTCCAATGCGCATTAGCGAATAGAGAGTCTGCCCTGCTTGCATTGTGGTTCCATACAGAACCCACAAACGACGCTCGGCCAGCCTGCACAAAAAACACACAACCAACTGTTTCCATACAGAGACAAGTAAGTCACCCACCTACGATAAGACGTAGCCAATAGGGCACAATTCACTTGCACAATAAAGTCACCGCCGGCCGCCCGACCCCCAGGGGATCGGGGGCATCGGTGTTCCTGGAATCACATGCATCACAGCTGTGTCTGTCTTTAGTTTAGAGTAAAAGCGTCGGCACCTGCTCGATGCTATTTTTCTCTCTAATCTAGACTATGAATTGTCGATACTGTAACCGTACAGACTGTAATACGGTACCTAACTACAAGTTGTAGTTGCATACACGATTGCCTACGTTGTAGTCTACAACGTAAGCAATCGTTTATCCAGCAATGTACCACGATAGCCTCAATCCACCAATGTAAACCCAGTTCGGTACACTACACGTAGTTGCGCATCCGCCCGCACCCGCCCACAACAATCTACCGTACGCATACACGCAGAGCATATCGGCCAACCTCTCCGCAGGCACCAAACACAGACCTACTAAAAAGGGATTTGCAACTTTTAATGTCCCACATCACACCAACCTTCCCACCCCCGTCCGCGCCCCACGCCGCCCGAACACGATAAGGCCCCGCCTCTCCTCACGCCGCGCCCCGCGCACCCCAACGTCTAACCCCGCTCTACACGCACGCCGCCGCCCCCGAGCTGGTGAACCAGTCGGTGAGGCACCCGCCGCAGAAGTTGGGCACGCACTTCGTCGCCTCCGCGCACGGCGCCTCCGTCACCTCGCACGGGTCCACCAGGCAGTTCACCGGGCTCTCGCCGTTGGTGCACTGGCAAATCTCCTTGCAGCACGCAGAACGTGTGTCCAGAAACTCCTTCTCGCTGTCCGATAGCCCGTTGAAGGAGCTGATGAACTGGTTATGCCTCGACGAAACCGCGGCATTCATACGTGTGTAAGTTAGTATCGTGCAACAACTGCACATGCAAGGGAATGACGCTGAGACCGAGCCCCGTCAATACTTACGTCACACAGATCGATGGACGGCTTCTTCCCGCCCCTTATCGGCAGAACGATGGCAGATTTCGACACCTCCAGCTGCACTCCGCAGGAGTGCGTCCCCGAGTACACCACTACGTGCGGGCTCGGTTTGCATCCCTTGTAGTTCTCTTGGATAGCGAGGGTGTACTTGTTCTCGAGACTCTCCTCATCCTTGGCGACCACCTTGGCTTTCACGAAATTCACCACGTCCTCGGAAAAGTAACTTCTCTGCAACGTCGGCGCGTACCTGCATCTGCACGCAGAGGCAGAAGACAGAACCGCAAACGCGAGGAAGGCAACAACCTTGGCAGACATGATGCGGCTTAATCGGGTGCAGTAGCAAGAAACGTTTTCGAAATCGTCCGCTCCGACAGGCTTCTGGGTTCCAAGGCCTTCTGCGACCACATTGCGCACCCCTAATATATACCTACAATCGCTGATGCTTTTTTACCAGGCCTCGTAGACTAGGACAATCTTGACCCTTCTGATGCCGCCGATTGTCTAAGATTCCAGAGGGAAGGGCTGACTTGGACAATCTTGACCCTTCTGATGCCGCCGATTGTCTAAGATTCCAGAGGGAAGCAAGGCATCCTGCTGCCTTGGACAAGTATAGCCTGACTTGTGGTCGCCTCTTTATGAAGTCGTCATGTCATGTACTGACCCAGGAGCCTATATACCAGTAACGTGTCTTGAAGAGACATCCCGTAGACCATCGAAAATCTCCGCGTTGTTCGAAATGGGAAGCTCTACGTGGTTAGACCAATGAAAATTTCTGCATCTAATTTTTGCTATTCGATAAACAAATAGTAAAGACATGATGGGCTGCACCCTTGGTAGTCTTTGCCTTGTCGATCTGTAAAATTTCAAAAGCTTCACACGTTCTGAAATCATGGAACCCCTACCGCGAGATACGGGGATGCGGGAGTCAGGTCCAGAGCGATTTGCTGAAATAATGCGCAGTTTGTCATGGATGCGTAGGCTAGCAAAAAGGCAAAGACTGTTCAGAATTTTCATTACTTTCAAAAGCCACTGGATCAGGGCTCAGGCAAAATTAGTTTTCACGGCAGACTCGCGGGCCCTCCATACCCTCATGAGTAAATAGATGACGAGAATTAGGAGATTGAAGACCAGTGAAATCTATTCTTCAGAAAGCAACCAATGCGTTTTGGCAGACATCTATGACGTGCATACCGTTTTTAAATATGCATCGAATAGACCAGGTATCTTTCACGTCACAACATTATTTATTTCACTTCCCGGAAATTTGTTCATATCCGAAAAGCAGGCAAAAAAATCGTTTAGAAAGCCACCAATAGAACTTTGCCAAAACACCATAAAGGATGAGACTCTCCTTGCATCGGAATCAGATGTATAAATCCAACAATAGCGAAATCGCTGACACTGTCAAACATAACAGAAAGACTTTCTTATGTACAGTACAGCACTGTACTATCATGTCGCTCGTGCCGTAAATCTATATCACTTAAACGTCCGAAAATAAGTTCATTTTGGAAGCCCAGGGAAGGAAAGAGGGAGAGGGTTGAGAATGGCTGCTTAGAGTTTGTCTCGAATGCTTCTCGTTTGATGGCGAAAATGCAACGAACATAGAGAAATGGAAAGGGCCATACTTTGTAGTTATGGCACCGATATGTTACGAAAGCTCACCTACACTATGGGGACATTGGCTCCTAGGAAAATGGGAGTTACAGAGACAAGTCTCTCGAAAGCATAGGAATTTATACATCGACCGTCAGTAGCAGTGGACGATCATAAATGGTAGAAACAATACGGTCACTGTTCGTCGCATCTCGTGCGTTGACGAAGAACATGGAGCTCGACAGTAACGCTGTTCTCAACATTAACGGTTTCTAGTTTTTAAACGTTGGAGTCGTACTCATCGTGAAGGTTCGATGGGCTGCGAAGAAGATTTTTGGTTGATTCGATAGGTCTACTAAATTGCTGTAGTGGTGCCCTGAAGGCGCCCACTTGCATGCAATGAGAATTGTAAAAGGCCTATTTCGCGTTGAGAGATGTGGCTGAATGCAAACAGCCAAGCAAAGCAATAGACGCAAAATATAAGGAGAGAAACTGATTTGTCTCCGCCAAGTCATATGAACTCCTCTCGTATGTCCACTGAAAGAGAGACCCAATCGTCTATTAAGGGAAAGGTACAGGAGGAGTTAGTAATGATAAGGAGATATGCCCGTGGAGGAAATTCTACGAATCACAGAAGAAGTTGATGAGCCTAGTGGATCACAAGAGCACTCCCTTGATTCAAGCGAATCGTCGAAGAAGGTGATCCCTTCTTTTGTTTATTGTTCGAGTTATTTCCTGTTCATGCTAAAACTTTTTTTCTTCATCACGTGTGTTGTGTATTGCAAGTAACGCAATGAAAATCGAGGAAAGCCTGAATATTGATTTCTCTGTCGAGACAAGCCCCATTTAAACAAAGAGAACAATGAAAGTATAATATACTTTATATTTTCATTGTTCCCTTTGTTTGATGTCTCATTAAAAATAATATATTTTTAATGAAACGTCACCTGAACATCTTCTTATTTTGTAAATCACAGTTAGGCACCATCATCGATCGCAAACCTCTGTGCAATTTTGACTTCTGTAGACTTAAACAAACGATTCAGTGTCGGATTTGGTGACAAGCGAACCTCAAATCTTTTCTCTATTAAAAGAAGCGCAGCGATATTCCTCGTGAGGAATACATTTATGGCTTTATTCGTCGAAGACTGTGGCTTACCATGTATAAACGTCAGAGAAAACTTTCAGGTTGCAAGCAAGCAACTACGACCAAAACGGTGTTAATTTTAAAATGTGAGCGAAATACGAGAGCAGGCTTGCTTTCAAGCAAGAGTGCAGTTTTAATGTGGAGACCGACATAAAAAACTCCACCATTCAACTGTTAACGTATTGCGAAAAAGAGGTGCACTAACGTATGGGTAGCCCAATATATCCACAAATCCATGTAGGGGCTTCTGTAATAAGTTGATTACAGCCTAGATTATTCGAAAGTCCACTGCAAAGGCATTTCTCTCGAAGCAACGATTTTATGACACAAAGCGCTACAAAACAACGACAAAGATGCTACAGAGAGGCATCGGGAATATACGAGTTTGCTCGACTGGCCCAACCATAAACGTCTCTGATCTTCGTCCAATACGAGCATCCATCGATCCGTGGTGGGACTTCTCCGAATCTCGTATCCCAACTATCCAACTCAAGCAATGTCCTGGACCAACAGAGGTGGGCGGCATCAAATTTTTAATTCAGGTTAACGTAACACTATGATGCATACACGACACTAACCACCCATGCGTCCCAGTGTTTGCAGCCTTTCCAACCTCTCCAGAACAAAACAAGGTACAATGGAAACCGAGGACAAATGCTTTGTCTCTGCGCCAATAGCCGTCTCTTATGGCACGATACCTTTTCTCGCTTTGCGTTCCATCAAGGGGGATTGGATATAAACGACATTTGAAAGTATTTGTGCCACATAAACATTCTTCAAGCTGAAATCCACCAGAGCCGTTGGTAAAGCTTGGAATGCTTCGTCGCTGTGATATATTGTACGTTCACTTGGAAAAGCCCGTTGACAGTAAAAATCACGCTTCTCCAAAAGCTGCCGTCCGAGATACACGTGTAAACCCACACGTGTACACGCTTACGTCGCTTTCCTGCGCTAGCGCCAACTGGGTACGGGCCGTCGCCTTGAACATCTTCAACAGCGTTCGCCACAGACATGAATCGATACGACTCGCTCCCAATCCACAAAACCTCATAGGTACCGCTGACATTCTCTCATGCCAAGACGGCCGGAGCCAGCTGTGTTTCGGCGTGCCGTGCCTCGGGCTGAGTGGAGCAAGCACATAGCATGCGGCTCGGCATGCAGTCGGCGAAACCGCGGGTTTCGTCAAATGACTAGGACGTACGCGATGCAGATCATCGCCACGGCGTGAGAAGCGTCCCTTAGAATCACGCGCACGGGAAGATTCGCCGTGGGTCGAGTCATTGTGGGACGAGGCACTGTGGGACGAATCGCGGTGGGACGAGGCACTGTGGGACGAATCGCGGTGGGACGAGTCGCGGTGGGACGAGCTGCGGTGGAAGGTGGGGATCTAGTGGGAACGCACGTCGATGAGCGTGAATGCTCAATTCTGAAGGGTCCCGGGCGTCGAAATGCGGGGGCGTCCGCGGGGGACATGCTGATGGCAGTTAGGACGTCGGAAAGGATGACAGAAGAAATATTACAGCAGCACAAGCCTTGCAGGCAGCAGGCGGAAAGGGAGAGGCAAGACGGAGATGGTGAGGAGGGCTGCGCGAGCGGAGGACTGAGTTTTATGACGTGTACTCGCATACAGTGTTACATGCATAAGCGAGAGTGAAGTAGAGAGAAAGGGCGGCGACGTATTGATAGGTACATCGGATGTGTGCGTGACGGGCACGGGTTGGACGGCGGGTGGGACAGTGAAGTAGTCTTTCGGTCGGGAGGCGTGCGATACACGAGCGTAGACTCTGAGTACGTGCAGTAGGAACTGAAGAGGGTAGGCGGGTCTAGCTTTAAGTTCAGAGTGTAGATGTACGCGGGATTTTGGTGACGCACACACCAGAAGCAATGGACGAGGACGGGACAGTGGACGGTACAGTGGACGGTACAGTGCTTGTACGGACAGTGAGTCGTTTGGGAATGAAGGAAGCAATGCATCCGGGCAATGTGGTGGAAGCATTTGGGGTCCGTGGGAGGGACTCTGCCTCCCCCGAGGCGTGACGAAGTAGTCACACTTAGAGGTCTTATTAGCGCAGTTACAGGCGCAATAGCGCCTAGGTTTTTATTCTAGTGTAATATTATCAGCTTCATGCTGGGTCGCCTTCCCTCGTTTGACCTTCAGACTTCCTCCGTGTCTACTGCAGCCCTGCCCGCAGTCACTGATACAACCACCCGCAGGACCCCAAACCAGCATCCCTGTTTCTTCGCTCGCACTCGAGCAGCCGCTCCAATCTGCTCCCGTACCAGCGCCTCACTCCCACACCTCCGTCAAGCACCGCTGGACCAAATCTGGCCGACTCCACCCCATCACAAACTCATTCCGCATTCCCATTCGATAGAACCTCCCCTGCCGGGACCCCTGAGACACACGTGCGCACTGCGCCATCCATATCTCCGTTCGACGTGCACTCCAATTGCAACGTCCCCATCAACCCTCCATTCTCATGCAGCGTATTGCGACGTCCCAGCTTCCACATCCACCTCCTATCACACACTTTCTCCACATTCGATCCTTTCATACACACGCAACTTCCTCACATCCTATGTTGCCCACAGCTCACCGAAGATTCTCCCCTCCTTGTCTCCCTCATCAACAAGCAAACGCCCCTCCTCGCAATGCCCACGTGTCCTTCAACACCCCTATATTTCCCCGTCCATCGACGCACTTGCCTCATGTCCCAGTTCCACAAATGCCTCCTTTCGCGCTTCGCCCTTCTTCCTTTCATACCCTCTACGACAAATGCAAACTCTCGCAAGAGCTCTCACGCACAACTCAATATAAAAGAAGCACTCAACCTCCCTGTCCGACATCCCTGCCCCTCACAAACCACTCCAACAGTCCCACAGCAACCTTCAAAGACCCCCAAGTTGCAACATGGCCTTCACCGCCTCACTTTCCCTCATTCTCTTCGCAGTCCTCGCCACCTTCACTGCTGCCCAAATTACAGGCCGCCCTACCTTCACTGAAGTCACCTCTGCTGTTGGCATCACCCAGCCCGACAACTCAGAACAATTTGGTGGTCCGACGGTCGCCGACCTGGACGGTGACGGTCACCTCGATCTCATCCTGACCTACCACAATCTTCACCCTCTCCGCATCTTCTTCGGTTCTGCCTCTGGACGCTTCACGCGAGCCGAATTTCCGCTTAAGACAGATGTTCATGGCGTCTCCGTTGCGCAGCGGACCGCTCGCTCAAAGGACCGATTGATCGTGGTGTGCGCGGGCGGCGGAAGAGGCACCAACTTGAGAGATCCGTTTATTTATCAAGTCAAGCCGGACCGTTCTCTCACAGAGATTACGAGAAGCTTCGGACTTGGGCGGGCGGCTGGCAGAGGAAGGATTGCCGTCTTCATGGACCTTCAAAGGAGGCGAAGCGCAGTCAGCAGGAGAAATTTAGGCGGGCCGGACTTTTTGCTGATCAACTTGCTTGATAACGGCCTCAGGATGAGCCACTTTGCGTACGAAAATCGCAGAGGCAACTACACTCTGCGTAACCCCGCAGGCCTAGCAAAGGTTAACGAAGAGAGAGCTATCGTTACTGACATTGACAACGATGGCATCATGGAGGTTGTTCACTTTTCTGTCTTCCGCATCTTCAAGTTGACGGCACCTTTTACACTCAGAGATGTCACCCGGACCGTCTGGCCAGGCACGAGAAATCTTTTCCGTACTATTTCTGCCGTCGTAGAGCTTGATTTTAACAACGACGGGAAAATGGATTTGTACCTCGCTCGGGCAAATTCTAACTTGGTCACCCCCAGAGGTCCTCCCAATGTCCCTCTGACGGATGATATCCTTTTGATGAATGAAGGCGGCCGGTATGTGGATGTCTCCAGGACCGTCGGGCTTCCGAGAGACACGGACAGCATGGGCGTTTCTGCAGAGGATTTCAATAATGATGGGTACGTGGACATTGTCGTGACGACCTTCTCCGGCAACGACTTTGTTCTTCTGAACGAGGGAGGTACTGGGTTCCGCCGCTTTAACTTGCCGGAAGTTAGGAAACCCTCCTCTACACGCGGACACAATGTCATGGCTCTTGACTACAACCGTAACGGAAAGGTCGATCTTATCTTCAGTCAAGGGTTCCGTAAGGCATTCACGGGTGGGTACCGCTTGATGAGGAACAATCTGGCCATCGGACCAAACTCGCACTACCTCTTGGTGAGAGTCGGGAATGAACCTAGTCGCGCGATTACTTCAATCAACGCCATTGTCACGGTCCATATCGGTACTCAGAGGCTTACAAGGCGTGTTGGAGGACGTGGGGCCCAATCGGGATCTCAGTCTTACATCGATACCGTACACTTTGGGCTTGGAAGCACCGCTGTTGTGACGAAGGTGACAGTCAAATGGACTACTGGCTTCATGGTTGCGCGGACAAATGTGAGGGCGGATCGCGTTATCCGTTTTGGTGTGGGTTTATAATCAGTTCGAGTGCAAACTTCAGCTAACTGTGCGCGCTACCGACTTGCTGAGTATGGTTTTGGAATATGATTCCATGTGTAGATTGCTCACCTGTCATTCACATGCAACTTCGGTGCTTGACCAGGGCCGAGAAATCAGTATAGTATAGTACGTTCCTCACTTGGTTTGCATCGTTCTTATGATAATTGAGGTTCGCAAAGACCTCTTTGGTTTTTTTCAGACATGGAGAGATTTTGTTAGGACATTTAAAATGCTTGTTTTCTGTAATCCGTTATCTTGATGAACAGTACACTTCGCTGCGTCGCCGAAGGCAACAACAGTGCGGTACTAAACAGCTATATACAATTGTAGTTAGTCTAGCCTAGGGGGATCATAAAGAGCTTTGATTACACCTCCGGCATTATCATACTGTAGACCACTGGCACAGAGACGTCCTCACACGTGAGAGGGGGAGTCGTGACAAGGCAAAATTCAAGAGAGGTGTTCAAATCTCATTTTGATTTATCTTTTCGGCCATAGAAAAGTTAAGCAAGCCTCTAATCCGCCTCACAAAGAATAGCATTGTGGCGAAGGAGAAACAGAGAGAACAGCTGAGGCCAGTTCAACTTCGAGCGAAGCTTTTTGAGAGACTACCGCAGAGCGAGACGTCTCGGTGCCGATACATTGCGGCAGAGATTTCGCCCTGGAGATGGAACATAGGCACACACGACCCCTGTTCCACTGCAGGCATTTTCGGTATTCTGCGTGGCCGACAACATCACATGCTTTTGTCAAACGATTTGCAAATGTGTCGCTTTCTTTTGTCTCTGTATAGAATCAATAGACATGATATACTGGTTTACGTTTATGGGGCATCACTTCTCGAGACACGTTATTGCACTCATGCTACAAGGAGGATTTTCGAGCAGCCAGTACTGGACGAGAAAGTATGAGCAGGTTTCATACTATATTTCAATCTCGGATTTGCCCTGTAGTGAACTGGCAACAGAAGACTTTAAAACTCATACGACAGGTATGTCGAACTCGCTATCCCCAACTAGAGTCCTTGAACGTTGGACCTACTTGACTCCCCTACCCAACGTTCATAAAGGCAACGCATGAGCTGTCATCAAAGCAAATAAACTTTTGTGGGCTATGGTTGAGTACCACGGACAACGTGTAGCAACTAAGTATGCGCAAAATGGAGAAAGTGTCGAAGTGAAGTACAGCTATGCTATTCTCTTTGTCGGCACATCTGATTTGCTGTTATGGTAAATTGAACAAGAAAAACAGATGACATGCAGTTCAAGTAGAGACTTATTGGATGGAATTTGAATACTGTAGTGGAGAAGCTGCGAGGCAATCTCAATCTTCGACCAGCAAATTGAAGAACCATGAGATGGTTTGAATCTGTTGACCAAGATTAAGCGTCGAAAGCGTGACAAGGAATGCGGTAAACTCCTTGACTGAAATTCTGCTGCGGCTGATCGCTGCTTCTTATGACTGGAACAACCGCAACAACAAAAAGCCCCCTTATTGAGCATTTTCTCTCATAGGCTAGCCGAGCCATTGCCTTAGAATAAGCTTTCTTTTGCACCAATAGTCGCTTGCAGGCAACCAGAGTTGGATATTGCCTGTACTGTACAATGTTCTGCTGTCCCCTGGTCTCAAACGCATACTCTATCTTTGGGAAAAATCTCGTTGACAGCATAAGGAGATAGACGTGTGGATGAGCAAACTTACATGCATTCAATTTGTGGGACAGTTGTGAGTGAGCACATAGGCGTTGGGTTTTGCTTGGAAATGTTGTCATCGGCTGTGCACGCCCCTCTTACTCCAGAGAATTTTTCATACATGATTTCTGTGGAGATAAAAAGGAGGCACCCACTGCTTTCACGAGAGGCGCAATGAAATCTCCAGTTCGATATGATTCCAACGATCTCAGCTCATCAGAGGCAGAAGGCTTACCAAGAATGAGGTCTGGACACAAAACAAGGAAGACCACCTCAAAATCCATGCATGCTTGCCTACAAGCAACAAATGACGAGATTCGCTTGTGTCATTGTCGTTATCGCAGGACGTCACTTAAATTTAGCCGAAAAACTGCAAGTCAATAGCGATCAGAAGCAACCGAGTGTTCTGCACAGTAAACACGCGAAAAGAAGAGGGCATCCAATACATGCCGCTTACTACACGAGGTTTGCATACCTAACAGATTGGTAGACGATCCATACCCTTCCGGTTGGTCGAATGCGGCCGTGTACTTTGCTCAATAAATACCGCCAACGTTTACAGAAGCACCGTGACCGAGTGGGACAGAGCTTTGTAAAGATGAATCGTGTATACAACGGGCCATCCAGCATGCAAAGACTTTGAGATGCATGTTGCACTGCACCAAGGAAGCAGAAACGCTGGAATCAGCACGAGGCGGAACAGACCTTCAATCGGTTTCCAATTTCAGTCTCGACGGACCGACCGCACAAGCAAGGAGTGCCTTTTGCAAGAGAGCCTCCATCGCCCATCGCACGGACAGAGCGTGACCCTTGGTGGCAATGACACCCAGAGAGGGGCAGATTCTGCCTGCGAAGACCGTCAATGCCTCGCTGTGATAACCGAATTAGCTAGAATTTGGCTATTTGACAGCGTTAAGATGGATATACAAGTGCATTATTACAATTCTGTCACATCGTGCCGCGACTTAAACTTTTCATACGTTGCGGGCATGTCCACGAACAAGAGAACAGCCTGCAGCGTCCCCAAGGCGCAGCACGGTTCAACTGCACTCGACATCCATGCACTTTCCCAACTGGTCATACCGCTGACTCACGCGGAACTGTGTCTTACAGCATGCGTCGCTTGTGTCAGGCCCAACCTCTTCTCCCTTGTATTGCTTTATGATAATCTATAATGTATTTGCTTCCGCAATGCGCCACTGCATTGCGCTTCCACTTCCTGACAAACCGAGACTCACTTCCTTCCTTACACCTCCTAATCGCAGCCCCAGGCCATTCAACTACTTGTCCGATGAAGGAAATACTGTATGCAATGTATGTAAATAATGATGTGGATACATCTCAGCCCGTTGCTGGGTGAACTTCCACCGAGACGCTCTCTGCGTGCCTTCTTTGATTGAGTGGTATGGGCTCAGAACCCACGTTACAAGTCTCAGATGCAATGCGTACTTGTGCGGTTGTCCATGCATGAAATCCAGCAGTTTTCGCCAGACGGATGCCAGTTATGACCGTCCACAACTTCGTTTCATCAACGTGTACGGTGTTGGTAAAGGAGAGTTAGGTCGAATCCACATCACAACAATGGTCGACGTGCATTCCATACCGTTATGACTTTATTGCTGTGCACTGAACCCGTCCGTTGACAAGTACAATATCAGCTTTTGGGTGGTGTAGATAGCTCTTGTCATGGGCAAATAGCTGTAAATGCACCATTTCTTTCCTTTGACGCATCTTGGGACGCCCGAGCGGATGGTTCTATGCCATGGAGCTCAAGGACGGTACAGCATCTCACCTTTGCCCAGGTCGTATCTATCTAGCAGAGAAAACATTACCACGCTTTCTATACGCAGCTAGTACACGGCACGTGCCCTATGATGCACAATTAAGCGCCCAACAGCGCCTTCATGCTTTTCTCTAGAAGCATCACCACACATCTGCTTAAAGTAGATTCCGGCACTTTGTAAGCGCTTTTCATACGTTTCATGGTGACTGACCTATGTGATTACAGACTCGTGTTTCTGGCATGATAAGCAAATTAGGCACTGGCACACTGCTACTCCCGAATGCAAAGTTTGAATATCCAGACATGAGACCTGTGGTAGCCCAACCTCAGGCTTCTAACTATGACACTGTACCGTACAGTATTTGCCCCTTGACATATCGTTTGTTTATGGCGTCGTACCTCGAGATTTGATTTGATCCGGTTGAAGCCCTGAAACATCGAAATGTCTTGTTTTGATATTCACGATGGAGTGGAACTTCCCAAAGCGGATAATGGCCTCAAGACTTGCGCGAAGGGCGCGAAAGGAACCACAGCGAAGGGGACAACGAGCTCATCTGCCAAGCCAAAACCTACGTGCATTGTACGGTCTAGCTGTTTTGCCTTAGCAGAGGCGTAAAGGCGTAAATTATCAACAACTCGTGCATGCAAAACACATTTGCGGATCGCGCGACATCGGTGGCAGAAAGACTGCCTGAGGCAAATCAGATTCTGTTTATTTTGCATAGGATGAGAAGACTATTTCCCTTCCTTGCGACTCGTTTTGCAGTCTTGCGACAGTAACAGTCCCTTCCTAAAATATTTGCATCATTGCTTCCGGCTCATTCTGCTTCGACGGCTGTTGCGCATTTAACATTGAGGAATGAGGGCTCCAATAATGATTTTCTTGCGATTGCAGTTTGTCTTATTTGATCTCGCGACTTTCAGGGTGTGCACCTGAATAAAGGTATCCATCTTGTCGCCACAAATTCGTTCTTTTCAAACTCTGTAGAGGTAGGTAGGTGTCTTGTGGAAGCCAACACAAAAAAGTGAAGTAAATTGCGTCACATGCCAGCTCTCTTATCAATGGCCAGACAATACTTCCTCCACACCACCACAATATCTGCAACTGTTTCGCAATTGCGGGTAAACACAACGAGCAGAATGGGCGAATTTCTGGTGCGTTAGTTTTCTCGTCGTCTCGGCACAGGCAAAGGAACCGGCACCAATAGAAACCTCCTTTACACGAGAGACGAGAATGCAAGTTGCTTCTTTTTTTTCTGGCAGCGCCGCCGCGACTGGCAATTCTATGCGCCCTACAGGCAAAACTTGACAACCGCCCGGTCTGAAGTATGATCCTGCATCCGTTTGCATATCCAGCCGAAACGGTTGCGCTGAATTTTGAACTGCACAGTACCTCGCGCTCACTTGGGTGCAATGTAGGCCTCCTTACCTCTGTGGTAGGTCAGCCACTATCACCGTCCTTCGGTAGCTACGCGAGTGCCGGGGATCTGTGCTTCAACTCACAG